GTGAAATACATTGTATCCCACTCACATACCCTGTAAAACACATCGTATCCCACTCACATATTACATCCCTTGTAATATACATCATATCCCACACCAACACATCCTCTGCACATCCCTGACATCACAGTGTTATAAATGCTGACAGGTTTAATGAACAAAGCCAGGACAGTGAGTGTGAGATCAAATATGTAAACTATTTCCAGTGGGATTCACAGGAAGCAACTATATTTTTAAAAGCATAATTTTATAACAGAATTGAGATGGGTTAAATATACATAGAAATAATCCACTTGCCAGAGTTGACAGTGACCATGGTGGCACTAGATGGGTTAAATATAGACAAAAGAACAGTGTCATCGATTTCCCCCATAATGGTAAATATTTATTGTATATCGAAACTCGAAAAACATTTGTTTATAAAATCCCAAACTATCAAAAGGTCCCAGTTCACCACTAGAGCTAAATTGTACAGTTTTCAAGATCTGCTCCAGTAATAACTCTACAGTCATTTGAATGGTCTCTCTGCAAAAATGTGCCAGACCAATTGTCTTTGACCTCAATTTCTGTTAATGTTCAATAATTCAGTTAATGGTCACATCAATAATAGATATCACATTTATTGATGTATGGTAGCAGTAGTCTACATAAAGTCATGACAGGCATTTAATAAAGATAGGTCTATGATGAAGCTATATTACCATGCACCTGTAGCCAGTGGCTTTATCATGGCTAAATTACCATACACCATAGCTAGTGTCTATAATGGTTAAATTACCATACACCATAGCTAGTGTCTATAATGGTTAAATTACCATACACCATAGCTAGTGTCTATAATGGATAAATTACCATACACCATAGCTAGTGTCTATAATGGTTAAATTACCATGCACCATAGCTAATGTCTATAATGGATAAATTACCATACACCATAGCTAGTGTCTATAATGGTTAAATTACCATACACCATATCTAGTGTCTAAAATGGTTAAATTACCATACACCATAGCTAGTGTCTATAATGGTTAAATTACCTTACACCATAGCTAGTGTCTATAATGGTTAAATTACCACACACCATAGCTAGCGTCTATAAAGATGAAATAACCACACACCATAGCTAGTGTCTATAATGGTTAAATTACCATACACAATATCTAGTGTCTATAATGGTGAAATTATCACACACCATAGCTAGTGTCTATTATGGTTAAATTAACATACACCTATAGCTAGTGTCTATTATGGTTAAATTAACATACACCTATAGCTAGTGTCTAAAATGGTTAAATTACCATTCACCATAGCTAGTGTCTATAATGGTTAAATTAACATACACCATAGCTAGTGTCTATAATGGTTAAATAACCACACACCATAGCTAATGTCTATAATGGTTAAATTACCACACACCATAGCTAGTGTCTATTATGGTTAAATTAACATACACCTATAGCTAGTGTCTATTATGGTTAAATTAACATACACCTATAGCTAGTGTCTAAAATGGTTAAATTACCATTCACCATAGCTAGTGTCTATAATGGTTAAATTAACATACACCATAGCTAGTGTCTATAATGGTTAAATAACCACACACCATAGCTAATGTCTATAATGGTTAAATTAACATACACCTATAGCTAGTGTCTATTATGGTTAAATTAACATACACCTATAGCTATTGGGTTAGTCTGTCTCACAGTCCCAGAACCATATTATTTCCCCTTACCTTAATTACTGCTGTGGCACTAAATGAAGCAAGTCTAGATTTTCCACAGGTTCTGAATCTCCAATCTCAATAGGGATCCTTTTCAGTTTATATGATGTAGTTTGTTTCTATCAAAATGAAATACCCAATACAGCCCATGCAATTCTATACTAATTGTCAAGTCTAGGTTACCATGAAGTCACAATCAAATGACATCACTAATGGCTCTGCTACTGAAGCTGTAAGCAGTACTTTTTACACTTAAGACACTGCTTATTACTGTCTACAAACTGAAAAAGTTGGAAAAATGATGTTGGATGATAAATAAAATCTCAGCCTCAGTGTTTTTCCACTTTTATCAACTCGGGTTGATATATTTGATATCAAAAGACACAAGGGTGAGATTCTCTATATTGAAATTGTGATGAAACCACATCCAAACTGTCAAAATCGAACTGTGAAACTGATCTAACAGCCTGTAAGCCCAAGGACCAGTACCGGGTAGTTACATCCTCAGTTCCTGTGATGTGGCTCACAACAGAACCTGGCTGGGTACATGGTGCCATGCAGACCAGCTGAGCCAGAAACTTCACACTTGATGAAGTGTGTCAAATACAACACCATAAATGTCTACTTGTAGTCTCATCGCAGAACTTGACAGGAAACAGCAACAGTTAACACCTAATTAAGCCTGAATTATTCCATCAGATGATCAATTCTGAATTCCACCATCACCATGGAGCCGAGTGTGAGGGAAGTGGATTACAAGTAGGAAATGTTTACCCTTCATTACAGAATTCAGACTAAAATATCATATTTCATGTCATCAGAAAGAATCATGGAGCAATCAAATAAAAAATTCAATATAATATTTCATCCAGTCTGTCATATTGTGAAAATGAAAACAATCAAATCAACAGTATTTTTTGCTAAAGCCCCCAAATAAAAGTTAATGTTTAATTTATATTCAGTCTGGAAAAAGGGTAGGGAGGTAGGCTTTTTTGTCACTTTTTAAAGGCGTGCCAGTATTTTTGAGGACTTGTGTAAATTTGTATTGTGTTGTCTCTACACTGACACAGACAACCAGCCTGAAAGCAGCAGCAGCCTTACAAAATTATTTTTGGATATTGGAATTGGTCTTTTTAATATTACCTACACTCATAGGAGCTATCAGACAAAAGGAAGTGGGTGTTATTTAACAATGGTTGAAGCTGGTGTATATGATGTCATATCAATCTGTACCAGGCACCACAGCCCATCTCAGTGTTAACCAGCACTAATGGGAAATCTTGCAATGGAAAAAAAGGCATTTCTTAGAAAATGTTACTTGTCTTACAGAATGATTAGCATGTAAATATATTCACTCCAAGCCCAGAAAATGTAATGACTCACTTTTGAAGGCAGATTCTAATGGTAAATAACTGTATAGATTTTGCAGTAAACTCATTCACAAAACTCCCTCCTCCATAGAAATGTCATGCCTGCATATCTGTACAGCTATCAACATTTTATGATGTTGCCTTTGAAGTTCTTTCAATCAATGACATCTTAAAGAGTCAGTGACAATGAGTCTGGGTATTTGTATCAACGTAGAAATTCTGTTTCAACGAGATCAGCGTACATGTGTAACATGTCCACACTCCTATCCACAAATTGAAAGGAAATTTTCAATCAGCAAATAGTTAAAACTATTCCCATAATGAATTATATGTATGAAGACGCAGATTTCTTGGTTGCTTAAGGATGCAGTTAGTCATATCGCAGCTATGATGGCTCCCTGTAAATCTATAAGACTTGACCAGACAATCCAGTGATCGATCTTGTGAGCAGCGATCCACACTGTCTGGGTGCAAGCAGATCCAATCAACCCACACAACCTATTTGGTCGCCTCTTACAAACAAACAGCATGGGTTTCTGGGGACCCACTCCAACCAGGAATCCTCATGGTATCGCCTCTTACAAGCAGCCAGTGTTGTTGGGGAAACACAGTATATACTTGCCAAATACATTACACATACAACGCCTTCGTCCAAATGATATCTGATCTAGAAGCTCTCTGTTTTAATAACCAAGCTATGAAACTATCCGAAAGTGGTTTATGATCCGACTGATGTTGCACTATATGTACTGGATACAATAGAACAACACTCCTAATGTCAGTTTGACACAAAGATAATAAATTACGTTAACTTTATTGGTTTAGCTCTCAGACGATCACCCATCAGAATCCTTGTCAGTAATTTTCATAATTACTTGCATAACAGATCCGCTCCTCAAATTTCTTAAAAGAATTGTTTTTACATATTTTTGTAGTGTAACTAATTCTATCTTTCTATGTCTCTGAAAGATTCATTTATCACAAAACAAAAGTTTGAAAAACAGAAAGGCTTAAGAAGTCCAGTAAACAAAACATATCAATCAAGTGTACTGCCTTTCCACTTCTGGAATTTGTTTAGGTTTTGCAAGCAAATTAGGAATATATTGTTATTTTGTTCTCACTTTCTTAAATTCAGAAGTATTTTAACATTGTATTTAAACAGTGCATTTGATGTAATAATGTAATTTTAATTAAGCACTAAATCCTCTTCTTCCTTATTGGTCCTTCTTTCAGTGCAATACAAGTCACCTCCACAAAGTCATGCGATTAGTTATAACTAAATTAACATGAATTGAGAAATATTAATTCAATCTGGGAGTATTTTCTGACATCTGCTGCAGAATGGGCCGAATATCTGCATCTGAGCAGGTCTACATAAATCCCTGCACTTCATGTTTCTTTGAAATTAACAAAACATATACATTAATATACATATGATGCAGTTCTTATCTGATGGGTGACCTGTATTAATTTCACGAAATAACGACATGACTTAAGACTGAAGAAGTAACTTTATAGGTTACCACTTCCCTAATTGGATCAGTTTAAATCATCTAAATTGATTGAGACACTAAAATCATCACACAGAGTTAAATGCTCTCGAGGTTGCGTCAAAATATTCTCAAGGTCATTCAATCCATAATCATTTGAATAAACGTACAAAAAAACATTTTCTCAAAAAGAATCCAACTAAATTACAACAGAGCAAGATTTATGCTTGCGTTCATCATCCTAATACATCAATCCATTCCATCTACATTGACAACCCTTTTGTTGTATTTAGACACAATGCCCTTGTAATGCTGTCTTGGAGACTAATGAGGGCTAATGTGTATTTCCTGTGCTATAATGCGCTATATCCCCCACCTCAGCCCCTAATGGAGTAACATTGACATTGTCTGCACACTCACCTGTTTCACCGTCTATATCCATCAACAGTAAGTCCCATAGTAATGTATATCCTAGTCATGACATACGCTAGCTGAGCCTAGCCAGGAATACGAGTCCATATCACCCGCCACCAGTCTATACACTCCGGATCTGCAAGGAGGGGAAACAGACACGGCTATTACAAGTGGTCAGCTAGTCGGCATGTATACACAATACGGATTCAAGCCTGGCACACATTTGCTCTGATATTGACAAAGACTTGTCGTTGAATGGTTACCAATAAACAGAATAACACTGCTCACAGTTTATCCGGCTGGGGTGAAATTCCTTGACAGTCGCCGTGACATCACAAATCAATGGCATGGATAAAGCTTCCTGCCAATCACATAAAACAAAACTGTTATCCTCCTTGGAAACCACTTACACTGATAATCAATGGCACATGGGATAGTGGGTGAAACCTTCTGTCTATATAAACATACTTGTCACGGGCATCACAGTGCACAGTGCACAGTTCAACCTAATCACCCAAACTTCTCCCTGACATGGCTCATTAATATTTCACTGTCTCTTCCTTCCAAGATTGACCCTGTTAGTGGTTTGTGACCGGCCACCCGAATATACACCCTCTAGCCAATGGTTAGCTCTGTCTCTACATGGGATGGCAGGAATTGCATCTCGCCTACTACACGCAGCCCAATAATTTCAGATAATACATTATATTGATCAATGTAACCATGACAACATTATAGCCACTACTCTCCCTTGTAGCCCAAGCACCATGGATGGTATGTAAATATTTTCGGGGCACGTGCAGCAATGACAGTGTGTTTAGAGACTGCTGTACAATGGGCTATTGTATCCTGATAATCGTCTTCCTTAAATGACCAGTTTCACAATGACTTTGACCATTGACCATGTCATAGTTCGCTGACCATGAAATAAACCCTCATATGCCCACTGTGTGAAATATTTAGTTTGTGTGTTTTATTTCCTGAAACAGAGGGTTAAGCACATCAATAAGAGTAATTGTGACTTTTTAAGACCCCAAGTGGAATAGGTATTGATTGCTTCTGCTTAATGTATATGATGTGATGCTGATTTCAAGCTTGACATGCCAAACAATTATGTCTGGTCATGGGAGGGAGGAGCGGGACGCAATGGGGCTTGGACAAAGAGGGGGGATGGTGTTACTGGAGAGTGAGGGAGACCCGTAGTGGAGTCACATGAGGGGGGACTAGTATTAATATTCAGTCAGAAGGGGGTTTGCAATACTATTTAGTGAAAGGGACTAGTAACAGTAGTCTGACTTGGGGACTAGAAATTATATTTGGTAAAGAACTAGTAATACTACTCTGTGAGGGACTTGAGTCATACTGTTCAGTGAGGGGGCTAGTAACACTTTTCAGTGAGGGGGCTAGTAACACTGTTCAGTGAGGGAGCTAGTAACACTGTTCAGTGAGGGAGCTAGTAACACTATTCAGTGAGGGACTAGTAACACTATTCAGTGATGGGACTAGAAACACTATTCAGGGAGGGACAAGTAACACTATTCAGTGAGGGACTACCAGTAGTAACACTATTCAGTGAGGGACTAGTAACACTATTCAGGGAGGGGGCTAGTAACACTATTCAGTGAGGGACTAGTAACACTATTCAGCGAGGGACTAGTAACACTATTCACTGAGGGAGCTAGTAACACTATTCAGTGAGAGATTAGTAACACTATTCAGTGAGGGAGCTAGTAACACTATTCAGCAAGGGACTAGTAACACTATTCACTGAGGGAGCTAGTAACACTATTCAGTGAGAGATTAGTAACACTATTTAGCGAGGGACTAGTAACACTATTCAGGGAGGGACTAGTAACACTATTCAGGGAGGGGGCTAGTAACACTATTCATTGAGAGATTAGTAACACTATTCAGCGAGGGACAAGAACACTATTCAGTGAGGGAGCTAGTAACACTATTCACTGAGGGAGCTAGTAACACTATTCAGTGAGGGAGCTAGTAACACTATTCAGTGAGGGAGCTAGTAACACTATTCAGTGAGGGACTAGTGACACTATTCAGTGAGGGACTAGCAACACTATTCAGTGAGGGACTAGCAACACTATTCAGTGAGGGGACTAGTAACACTATTCAGTGAAGGACTAGTAACACTATTCAGCAAGGGACTAGTAACAGTATTCAGCGAGGGACTAGTAACACTATTCAGTGAGGGACTAGTAACACTATTCAGTGAGGGGGCTAGTAAAACTATTCAGTGAGGGACTAGTAACACTATTCAGTGAGGGACAAGTAACACTATTCAGTGAGGGGGCTAGTAACACTATTCAGTGAGGGACTAGCAACACTATTCAGTGAGGGGACTAGTAAAACTATTCAGTGAGGGAGCTAGTAACACTATTCAATGAGGGACTAGTAACACTATTCAGTGAGGGACTAGTAACACTATTCAGCCAGGGACAAGTAACACTATTCAGCGAGGGACTAGTAACACTATTCAGGGAGGGGGCTAGTAACACTATTCAGTGAGGGAGCTAGTAACACTATTCAGTGAGGGAGCTAGTAACACTATTCAGTGAGGGAGCTAGTAACACTATTCAGTTAGGGACTAGCAACACTATTCAGTGAGGGACTAATAACACTATTCAGCCAGGGACAAGTAACACTATTCAGTGAGGGACTAGTAACACTATTCAGTGAGGGGGCTAGTAACACTATTCAATGAGGGAGCTAGTAACACTATTCAGTGAGGGAGCTAGTAACACTATTCAGTGAGGGGACTAGTAACACTATTCAGTGAGGGAGCTAGTAACACTATTCAGTTAGGGACTAGCAACACTATTCAGTGAGGGACTAGCAACACTATTCAGTGAGGGACTAGTAACACTATTCAGTGAGGGACTAGTAACACTATTCAGCCAGGGACAAGTAACACTATTCAGCGAGGGACTAGTAACACTATTCAGGGAGGGGGCTAGTAACACTATTCAGTGAGGGAGCTAGTAACACTATTCAGTGAGGGAGCTAGTAACACTATTCAGTGAGGGAGCTAGTAACACTATTCAGTTAGGGACTAGCAACACTATTCAGTGAGGGACTAATAACACTATTCAGCCAGGGACAAGTAACACTATTCAGTGAGGGACTAGTAACACTATTCAGTGAGGGGGCTAGTAACACTATTCAATGAGGGAGCTAGTAACACTATTCAGTGAGGGAGCTAGTAACACTATTCAGTGAGGGGACTAGTAACACTATTCAGTGAGGGAGCTAGTAACACTATTCAGTTAGGGACTAGCAACACTATTCAGTGAGGGACTAGCAACACTATTCAGTGAGGGACTAGCAACACTATTCAGTGAGGGGACTAGTAACACTATTCAGTGAAGGACTAGTAACACTATTCAGCGAGGGACTAGTAACAGTATTCAGCGAGGGACTAGTAACACTATTCAGCGAGGGACTAGTAACACTATTCAGTGAGGGGACTAGTAACACTATTCAGTGAGGGACTAGTAACACTATTCAGTGATGGGACTAGTAAGACTATTCAGTGAGAGACTAGTAACACTATTCAGTAAGGGGGCTAGTAACACTACTCAGTGAGGGAGCTAGTAACACTATTCAGTGAGGGACTAGTAACACTATTCAGTGAGGGACTAGTAACACTATTCAGTGATGGGACTAGTAAGACTATTCAGTGAGAGACTAGTAACACTATTCAGTAAGGGGGCTAGTAACACTACTCAGTGAGGGAGCTAGTAACACTATTCAGTGAGGGACTAGTAACACTATTCAGGGAGGGACTAGTAACACTATTCAGTAAGGGGGCTAGTAACACTATTCAGTAAGGGGGCTAGTAACACTATTCAGTAAGGGGGCTAGTAACACTATTCAGGGAGGGGACTAGTAACAGTATTCAGTGAGAGATAAGTAACACCATTCAGTGAGGGACTAGTAACACTATTCAGGGAAGGGGCTAGTAACACTATTCAGTGAGAGATTAGTAACACTATTCAGTGAGGGAGCTAGTAACATTATTCAGGGAGGGGACTAGTAACACTATTCAGTGAGGGACAAGTAACACTATTCAGTGAGGGGGCTAGTAACACTATTCAGTGAGGGACTAGTAACACTATTCAGTGAGGGGACTAGTAAAACTATTCAGTGAGGGAGCTAGTAACACTATTCAGTGAGGGACTAGTAACACTATTCAGTGAGGGACTAGTAACACTATTCAGCCAGGGACAAGTAACACTATTCAGCGAGGGACTAGTAACACTATTCAGGGAGGGGGCTAGTAACACTATTCAGTGAGGGAGCTAGTAACACTATTCAGTGAGGGAGCTAGTAACACTATTCAGTGAGGGGACTAGTAACACTATTCAGTGAGGGAGCTAGTAACACTATTCAGTGAGGGACTAGTAACACTATTCAGCGAGGGACTAGTAACACTATTCAGTGAGGGGACTAGTAAAACTATTCAGTGAGGGAGCTAGTAACACTATTCAGTGAGGGACTAGTAACACTATTCAGTGAGGGAGCTAGTAACACTATTCAGTGAGGGGACTAGTAACACTATTCAGTGAGGGAGCTAGTAACACTATTCAGTGAGGGACTAGTAACACTATTCAGTGAGGGAGCTAGTAACACTATTCAGTGAGGGAGCTAGTAACACTATTCCGTGAGGGAGCTAGTAACACTATTCAGTGAGGGAGCTAGTAACACTATTCAGTGAGGGAGCTAGTAACACTATTCAGGGAGGGGACTAGTAACACTATTCAGTGAGGGAGCTAGTAACACTATTCAGGGAGGGGACTTGTAACACTATTCAGTGAGGGAGCTAGTAACACTACTCAGTGAGGGACTAGTAACACTATTCAGGGAGGGGACTAGTAACACTATTCAGTGAAGGACTAGTAACACTATTCAGCGAGGGACTAGTAACAGTATTCAGCGAGGGACTAGTAACACTATTCAGTGAGGGGACTAGTAAGACTATTCAGTGAGGGGGCTAGTAACACTATTCAGTGAGGGAGCTAGTAACACTATTCAGTGAGGGGACTAGTAAGACTATTCAGTGAGAGACTAGTAACACTATTCAGTAAGGGGGCTAGTAACACTATTCAGTGAGGGAGCTAGTAACACTATTCAGGGAGGGGTCTAGTAACAGTATTCAGTGAGAGATAAGTAACACCATTCAGTGAGGGACTAGTAACACTATTCAGGGAAGGGGCTAGTAACACTATTCAGTGAGAGATTAGTAACACTATTCAGTGAGAGATTAGTAACACTATTTAGTGAGGGAGCTAGTAACACTATTCAGGGAGGGGACTAGTAACACTATTCAGTGAGGGGGCTAGTAACACTATTCACTGAGGGAGCTAGTAACACTATTCAGTGAGGGGACTAGTAAGACTATTCAGTGAGGGGACTAGTAACACTATTCAGTGAGGGGACTAGTAACACTATTCAGTGAAGGACTTGTAAAAGTATTCAGGGAGGGGGCTAGTAACACTATTTAGGTATACTACAATAATACTGTCCAGTCAGAGGGGCAACGCATCATTCATCCACATAATTGTCATCTTTTACAACCATGTACATGAGACTCACGCCCTAAGACCACCGCCACAACCCTGATATAACTGACAATAACCACCGCTCCTTCCCCATTTA